ATTTTATCATTATGACTTTCTAAATAGCGACATAACTGTTATTCAAGAAAATAATCGCACTCACACACATTATNCCTCCTTCCTCTCCTCTTCTCTCTCCAGCTGGCTTTAGTCTTGGGGATCCCATGGTATGAAAATTCAAGAGACGATAATCGTGTAATTTTGTTTATATCGGTTTATATCCATGAAATAAACCAGTAATTATGGCGTGATGCGTAATAGTCGTCTGAGGTGATTTACCCTTTTTAATTCGCTTCGCCAGGCCCTTTGATTATAAACTCACTTCTTATATAAACTCGAAGTTATTGTGAAAGGTCCGTGAAGTTTTTGGAATTAAAAGTAGAAAGGCTTTGATTCTTGCTTATCAGTGTTTTGTCACGGTAGAGGAAGAACGAGAGACGAAGAGAAAGAGAGGAAAGGAGAGAAGAGAAGAGAAGAGAGAAGAAAGAAGAGAGAAGAGAGAGAGAGGAGGGGGAGAGAGAAAGGAGAGAGAGAAAAGAGAGAGAGAGAGAAAGAGAGGAGAGAGAGAGAGAGAGAGAGAGAGAGGAGAGAGAGAGAGAGAGAGAGAGAGAGAGAGAGAGAGAGAGAGAGAGAGAGAGAGAGAGAGAGAGAGATAGAGAGAGAGAGAGAGAGAGAGAGAGAGAGAGAGAGAGAGAGAGAGAGAAGAGAGAGAGAGAGAGAGAGAGAGAGAGAAGAGAGAGAGAGAGAGAAAGAGAGAGAGAGAGAGAGAGAGAGAGAGAGAGAGAGAGAGAGAGAAGAGAGAGAGAGAGAGAGAGAGAGAGAGAGAGAGAGAGACCGGTAGAGAGAGAGAATAAAAGAGAAACAGAAAGAAAGAAAAAGAGAAGGAACAAAAATCTTTCAAAACTCCCAAGTGTTTAAACATGTATCTTTTACACTCAACAGCTTTGTATCTTTCGCACAAGCATGTACTCTAACGCTATCCGACCTCGGTCTCTGTATTCATTTCCTTTCGTCTTTTTTCCAGAGTGTTGCATCCGGGAGCCCTTGGCGATGCTAAAGCTGAAATAAGGTAAAGATAGATTTTTTAAAAAGCTGTCTCTATTTATCTATTTGTGGGCCTTGTTTATCTTATCTACTTGCTTTTGTCATTTTTTAAAAACGGAGATTTAGATATGTTTAAATGACTTATAATCATCCTTTTTGAAGTTGTGTTAAATGTCCGTTCCTTTCTCTACCATATTTTGGATTTTGGACAGAGGCTGAAATTATGTTGTCTGTGTTATCTATATTCTTACATTTAATAAAAAGCTAATGAAGTGCAGGTGAAGATGTGTAAGATTAAGAGCTGAGTAATTGCGCTGACGAAGAGAAGATATATGAAAATGGGAATAGTGAAGTGAGGGAAAATGTGGTATAAATTGAGGGAAAAAGTAATAACAGAGGAGAAGAGGTTCGAGGTGAAAAATAGTTCTGAAAATGATGTAACGAAATCGAAATAATTTCGGCTGGAAAAAGAGAAAAAAAAAGAAAAGGACAAGGGAGAACGAGAGAGAGAGAAAGAGAGAGATAGATAGATAGAGAGAGAGGACGGGGAGGTGGGGGGTGAGACAGACAGAAATAAAGAGATAGAGAAACAGTGAGACATACAAACAGACAGACAGACATCAGCGCAGATAGGCAGACACAGAATAGTCTTCAGTACATAATCAAAGACAAACAGACCTCTTCCACACATATTCTAAACAAATAGAACTTGTAGACCTACCTACGGAACCAGTCCGAGCTCTCTCTTGGCCGAATAGACGCGGGGCGACTCGTTGACCTTCGCCCGAGCGCCTAAGGCGTGGAGGCTGAGACGATCGCCAGAAGCTATGTTACTGTCATGACAAACATAGGTTGACGCTCAGCCAGCACGACAGAATGCTTATGTAAAAGGGTTACAGGGGACCGTTTCCCCTCAAAAAATGTATACTAGACCACAAGCAATTCATTATCATATATAAAAAGATTGTTCGTTCTGGCGATTTTCTTTCTGAATAAATACTAGGTACACACTGTTCGAAAAATCATTAGTCACAATAAAAAGAAAAAAAAAATCTTTATAAATATCATCAGCAAATAACGCAAAAACTATCTATCTTGAAGAAAACGGAAAACTAGAACCCGACGACATGTTTTCACGGCGCAACGACCTGCGCCAAGACGACAGCGAATCTCGAGGCTGAATCTCAAACCTCCAGCCGAGAGATCGTGTTGCTCTCTTTTCTAGACTGTTATTAAGACTGTCTGGAAGCCTTGTTGTATAGAATATCATATTAGATTAAAATTCAATATTGGATTCGATTTCCTAACGGTCGAAGGATTGTGATAAAAGAGGAATTGTGATCCAATGATTGAAGGGTATTTGCATTGGTATTCATGTATGTGTCTACCTATGTATATAGTTGATGTCTATATATTTCTATGTATCTGTCTATCTCTTACCTATATCTTTGTTCATATCTACTATATTTGACTACTCATATATCTCCTTTATGTATTGACTACAAGCAGTCAGAAAATTATAGATTCATCACTTAATTCAATGGATCGCCCTCGTAAAAGAAAACCATAGCCATCATTTTCCCGTGTTTGAAATACGAATTAACTTCCACCAATACTCCAGATGACCTATCAGACCTTTGCGAAGCCTTACGCCCTGCAACATAGGTCTTATCTGCATGATTGCATTATCACATACACACGAAGAGGAGAGGAAGGTATTAAAAGCTCATACATATATGTCTTGTATCATCTATTCCGGCCTTTTATTATCGGCACCCGCTGGAGATAAGCGTTTCTGTGTGTTTCGTTTATTCTTTCTTTCATTTCCCTTGTTGTGTCATATTTTGATATTGTGTGGAAATCGTTTATAACCAGTTAAGATGCTTTAGTGGGAATGTAGCGTGATCATAGTCATAATACTTACAGGGTAAAGATCAATGAGGCGAATATTTTTATAATATATTCTGAACGTATGAATGTGGGAGAGACACATGATGTCCGTTTGTTTGTCTCACGAGAGAGGTAGTCGTTGGATATATTCTGTGTAGAGAGATAGGGAAGGGAAAGGGAGAGGAGAGGGAGAGGAGAAGGAGAAGGAGAAAGAGAGAGGGAGGAGGGAGGAGAAAGAGAGAGAGAGTGAGAGAGAGGGAGGGAGGGAGGGAGGGGGAGGGAGGGAGGAAGGGAGGAAGGAGGAAGGGAGGAAGAAGAGAGAGAGGAGAGAGAGAGAGAGAGAGAGAGAAGAGAGAGAAGAGAGAGAGAGAGAGAGAGAGAGAGAGAGAGAGAGAGAGAGAGAGAGAGAGGGGGGGGGGAGAGGGAGACTGAAACAGATAAAGAGAGCTCAAAGAAACAAAATCCATTTCACAGTCTTCGCCATACGCCATGGAACCCACATGATATACGCACAACCTCTGCTCAAGCCCCGTTCTCCTCGGCAGCTCCGACGACCACGGAGCCGTCCTCGCTGCCTTTCGCCGCACGAGAACGCCTTTGGAAGCGCATCAGCCACGAGGTCGCGGTCCCTTGATGAAAAGGAACCTGCGCTAATTCCACTCGGCGAACGATGGCGGGCTTGCTGTGCGCGCATTGCCCCGTGGCTGGCTTTCATTGCAGGTCATAATCACAGGTCATTCCAGGTGGGGACCGATAGGGGCGCCAGGGAGAATTTCCATGATAAGACGTCGTGTAGTTATGGGATAACGAAGGTGATTCGCTGACTGGTATTTTTTATTTTATTTTTTATAGTAATTGTGGGTGATGGAGTGAGCGGTTTTCATGGAGTCCTGGGAATATGTGTGTGTGAGTGTGTGAGTGTATGTGTGTGTGTGTGTGTGGTTGTGCATATGTATTTATGATTTATATATCTATAATAATAATACCTCAAGTGTAACACAGAATACCTACCAAATTTAATTTTATATCATGAAAAGCAAAATATTCTACAGGGCTAATGAAAATCACACATCACACATAGTTTTCATGTTTCAGCAAACTTTTTTTGAAAATATCTATATTCTTACATTTAACAAAGAAATATTTTGTTCTAAAAACAGTTCCATACTTTTACCATATTCAGTAATCTTTTGCAAATGGGCAGTCACGAAAAGCATTATAGAGACATCGGATCAATACACAAGATTATAAGATTATCACAAGGATGTTAAAAAGATGCGGCACATTTAAGAAAAGAGAGAAAGAGAGACATTGATTTTCCTTTCATTACTTTTCTTCTTCTTTTTTTTTTTTTTTAGATAACGAACTATCAAGGCATAAACACGATGGTGCCTCTGAGTCTGCGCAAAAATTACAGAAAGTGGTAAGCGCTTAAGCGCCGACATGATATTCTCGGCAACGTTTTTGCATATCATGAACATAAAAACATTTTCGCATTTGCTGAGAAAATTGCACCAAGAGTGTTGAATAAACCCAACTTTTGCGCAAAAAAACCTCTCATCTTACGAATAGTAAATATGAACACATTGTTTTTTCTGAAAGGGGATTCATTTTTGCAGCATGAAAATGCGAGTTCTTGAATCTTGGTTTTTATTTTCTCCGTGTCATTTTTCTATTTCTCTAATTAAACCTTGTATATTCAGCATCCAAGGAAGTTTTGAAAAACATTGTACGCTGTTTGGGTATTCTCCTCTTCTCTCTCTCTCTCTCCTCTCAGCTCGCGCGCTCGCGCGTCGCGCTCGCGCTCGCGCGCGCGCGCGCGCGGTGCCGCCGGCTCGCGGGCCCGCGCGGCAGGCGCGCTCGCCACGCCGCGCGCCGCGCCGGGCGCTCGGGGGACGGAGGTGAAAGCGGGGGAGCCGAAAGGTGCGCGCCAGAGGTGAGGAGAGAGGTAGGAGGGGAGAGCAAGCGAGGAGACATGAAAAGGGCGCCAGAGAGGACAGGAGGGAGAAAGCAGGCAAGCGAGGCCACGGAGGGGCGGAGGAAAGGAGGTGGGAGGGGACAGCAGGAGGGGAGAGACGGGAAGCAAGAAAAGAGACGAGTCGAGAATGCGAGGAAAACCCCGGAAAGCGGTACCCACCGAAGAGACCGAAAACAACCACAGAAACGAGAAGAATGGTGCCCATGGGAGAGGGGAAACAAGGAGGCCGGCCCACGGCGGATGCACAGGCGCAGGGCGCAGAGAGAAGGCGGGCACGGGACAGGGCGAGGATTTTCCCAAGAGGTCCACGGCCCGAGGGAAAAAGGCCGCCGTGCGGGAGGGGCAGCAGACAAGACGGAACGACAGGCAGCAGGGTAAGTAGACACGAAGGCGCAGACACGCAGGCACGCACCGCGACGAGGAGGACGAAGGCAGAGGAGGCCAGTCACAGAGGGGATGATCCCATAAATCGGCGTGGGGAGGGCAGGCAGACAGTTGGTGCATGGGAGGGACGAGGCGAAGGGACGCGCCACCGGGGCGGAGTGGGCGATGGTCAGAAGAAGGAAAGGAGGGGAAGAGGGGAGAAGGGGACGGCCACGAGGAGGAAGGAGCGAAGGGGTGGCGTGAGGGATAAGGGAGCTAGGGGAGAAGGCAGGGGGTTGTGGAGACCAGCGGAGGAGAGGACAACGAGAAAGACGAAGAGCAGCAAAGGGAGGGGCCACCACGGCGAGGAGAAGCGGGACCAAGACAAGAGAGCAGCGAAGAAGATGACCAAGGAGGGAGGAGAAGAACATGGTCAACGCAAACAGCGGACGGGGCCGCAGGACAAGCGGCGGAGAAAGGAGCCAGAAAAAAGCAAGCAAAGGAAATGGGCCCAGGGAAGGACCCGGAGCGCAGCGCGCGGGACAGAAAACACGGGGGGTGGGGCGAGGGGGGCGGCAACCAGCCAAGCCACAGGCGGGAACCGACGGGAAGGAAGAGCAGCGGAAGCACAACCGCCCGGCGGGCGGTTACGGGAACGAGGGAGAAAGAGAAAGGAAGGGGCCGCGGGAAGGGATGACTAAAAGAAGGAAGGGAGAAGGGAGAGAGGAGGAAGGGAGATGAGAGTGAGGAGCGAGGAGAGGAGGAGGGATAGGAGAGAGGGGGAGGGGGATGGAGGGAAGAGAAGGGGAGAGGAGGAAGGAAGAAGAGAGAGGAGAGAGAGAGAAGGAGGGAGAACAGAGGGAGAGAAGAGAAAGAGGAAAGGAGAAAAAGAAAAGAGAGAGGAGATAGAGAGAGAGAGGAGATGGCGAAGAGGGAGGAGGAAGGAGACGAGCGAGAGGCGAGAACCACCGAGAGCACCGAGCCAGCAACCAGGACCGAGGACCACCAGACCAGCACACGGGAGCCGAACCGAGACGCGGAGAGAGACAGGAGCGATAGAGACAAGGGAGCGAGAGAGACAGCACCACCAAGACCGAGAGACGGAGAGCCAGATACCCAAGACCAAAGACCAAAGAAAAAGAACAGAAAGGAAAGAGCGAGAGGGGGGACGAGGAACTACAACGAACGAAGGCCAGACACACAGACAAGAGAGAGCGGAGGAGGCCACAGACAGAGAGAAGAGACGAGACGAGAAGAGGGAGATCGGAGAGGACGAAGGATGAGAAAGAGGAAGGGGAAAAGACGAGAGAAAGAGGCGTCAACGGGCGCCAAAGCGCGCCCCAGGAAGAGACAGGAGCCGGAGGCGGCAGACAGGACGGAGCAGAGGCCCGGACGGCGGGCCAACACCAGCCACAACGAGCCGACCAGGGCGAGAAGAAGAGGTAAGAGGAAGAAGAGTACAGGGAAAAAAGGACAAAGAGAAGAAACAAAAAGGAAGACGAGGAAACAGCGCGACAGGCGACCAGCACCACGAACGAGCCAAGCACCGAGACCACCCGAAGCCAGCCGCGGGCGAGGAGAGGGCCACCGCGACCAACGACCACCACCACCGCCAACACCACCACTACCACCGGCCTGATTAAGACCACCGGCAACACCCGAGCCACCACACGATACCACAGCACCAGCCGCCAACGACCACCACCACCACCGCAAAGACCACCGCCGAGAAGCACGAGCGAACCAGACCACGACGCCGAACGACCACCACCCACCACCACGCGGGCCAAGCACCACCACCACCACCAAGCTCCAACACCAACCACCACCACCGTCCAAGACCACACACCACGACCACCCACCACCGCCGAAAGAGCGACAACCAGAAAGGCCAGCCACCGCGCAACACAAGCACAGGAGACCACACAACGCGCACAAGCAAACAACGGGCACGAAACCCACCACCGCCAACACCACCACCACCACCGCCAAGACGCACCGCCACACCACACCACCACCACCCCATAAGACCAGGCGCCAAACACCACCACCACCGCCAAAACCGAGCCGCCAACACCACCACCACCGGCCGACCTACCACACCCGAGCCACCGAGGCCAAAGAGCGGCACACGCGCAACAGCCACCACCACCGACCCACCACCCACCGACCGCCAAACACCACCACCACCCGCCAACCACCACCGCGAGCCAGCGCACCACCGCCACACACCACCACACACAGACCGCCAAGAACCGAGCCGGCCAACACCAACCACGACGAGCGAGAGCGACACGGCCGAACAGACCGCCGAGAGGGAGAGAAGGACCGAGGCGCGAAGCCACGCCACCCCACCACCGCCAAGACCACCGCAACACCACCACCACGCGCCAACACCACCACCACCAGCACCAGCACCACCACCGCCAAGGACCACCGCCAAACCACCACCAGCACACCACCGCCAAGACCCACCGCCAACCACCACCACCACCGCACCACGCAACCGCAACCAGCACCACCACGCCAAGGACCCACCCGCCACACCACCAGCGCCACCACCGGCCAACAGACCAAACCGCCAACACAACACCACCAGCACCACCCACCGCAAGACCACCGGCCAGACACCACCAGAGCCACCACCACCGCCAAGACCAGCCGGCCAACACCACCAGCACCACCACCGCCAAGACCACCGCCAACCACCCACCACCACCAGCACCACACCGCCAACACCACCAAGCACCACCACCGCCAAGACCGACCGCCAAGACACCACCAGGCACCCACCACCGCCAATACCACCGCCAACACCACCACCACCAACAGAAGCAAGCGAGTAGCAACAACAGGAACAGACACAGGGGAGCAAGGAGGAACGGAGAGGACAAAGGAAGGGAGAGGGAAAAGAGGAGGCAAGAGGGAGGAGAGGAACAGGAGGAAGGGGGAGAGAGAGAGAGAAGGAGGAGGAAGAAAGGGAGAGAAGGGGGGAAGAAGAAGAATAGAAGAAAGGGAGAGAAGGGTGAGAAGGGTAAAATGAATGTAGTATATGTTTAAAGAAAGGGAGGAGGAAGGGGAGAGGAAAAAGGAAGAAGAAGAAAGGAGAGTGAGAGAAGGGCGAACAGGAAGCGGAGAGAGAGAGAAAGAGAAAAAACAGACAGGAAGAAGAGAGCAGAGAGAAAGAGAGAGGAGAGGAGGAAGGGAGAGAGAAGAGGCAGGAGAGAGAAAGAGAGAGAAGAGGAGGATCAGAGAGGGAAGGAGATGAGAAGAAAAGGGAGAGGAGAGAGAGAGACGAGAGAGCAGAGAAGAGGCGAGGAGAAGGAGGAGTAGAGACGAGGGAAGAGAGAGAGAGAGAGAGAGGAGAGAAGAAGGAGAGGGGAAACAAGGAGGGGGCAAGAGAGAAAGGCACTGGGAGAGAGAGAGGGTGAGGGGGGAGAGAGGGTGGAGAGGGATGCGGGAAGAAGAGGGGAGGAGACGAGGGAGAGAGAGGACGGAATGAGAGGCGGCGCGGGGAGAGAAGGAGGGGGCAGGCGGACGGGGAGGCAACGAGGGAGAGGAGAGGAGAGGAGCGGGACGAACGGGAAGGGGAGAACGAGAGGGGGGAGCAAAGCACGAGGAAAGCATGAGGGCGAGGAGGCAGAGAGGAGAGAGAGAGAGAGAGAGAGAGAGAGAGAGAGGAGAGAGAGAGCAGAGAGAGAGAGAGAGGGAGAGGAGGAGAGAGAGAGAGAGAGAGAGGAGAGAGAGAGATGAGAGGGAGAAGAAGAGAAGAGAGAAGGAGAGAGGAACGAGAGACGAGGGAGAGGAGGATGAAGAGGAAGGAGAGGAGAGGAGAGAGGCGGAGAGAAGGAGAGAGGAGCAGAGAGAGAGGGAGAGAGAGAGAGAGGAGAGAGAGAGAGAGAGAGAGAGAGGAGAGAGAGAGAGAGAGAAGAGAGAGGAGAGGGAAGGAGGAGGAGAGGGAGAGAGAGAGAGAGAGAGAGGAGAGAGAGACCGAGAGACCGAGAGACGAGAGGAGGACGAGAGAGGAGAGGAGAGGGAGAGAGGGGGAGAGAGGGAGAGGAAGGGGAGAGAGGGAGAGAGAGAGAAGTGAGGGGGGAGAGAGAGAGAGAGGCGGAGGAGAAGAGGGAGAGAAGAGAGAGGGAGGAGGAAGCCAAGGGGACGGGGAAAAGGGGAAGCAGAGGGAAAGCGAGAGAATGAGGAGGAGAGATGGAGGAGAGAGAGAAGAGAGAGAGAGGGAGGAGAGAGAAGGAGGAGACGAGTAGATGGAATGATGAACGAGAGAGAGGAGAGAAGAACGAGAAGGGGAAGGTGGGAGGAGGGAGGAGGAGAGGAGAGAAAGTGGGAGAGAGAGAGAAAGGAGAGATAGAGGGGAGAGAGAGAGAGAGCGAGATTATTTTGAGCAGTATTTTTTTTGATGAGTCTTTTTATTTTGATTTTGTTTTTTATTTTTTTTTGTATGTGTGTGGTGGTGGTGGGAGTGTGTTTTTTTTTTTTTTTTTGTTTTTTTTTTTTGAGAGGAGAAGAGAGGTATGTGTGTGAGAGAAGGGAGATTTTTTTTTTTGTGTTTTTTTTTTTTTTTTTTTGAGTTCTTTTTTTTGATGTATGTTTTTTTTTTATTGTTTATTTTGGAGTTTGTTTGTTTTTATTTTTTTTTTTTTTTTTTTTTTTCGAATGACGGATAGAGAGAGGAGATAGAAAGAGAGAGGAGAGAGGAGAGAGTCGAAGTGAGAGAGAAGAAGATAAGAAGGGAGAGATTAGAGAGGAGGGGGAGGGAAGGGCAGAGAGAGAGAGTGTGGGAGTAGAGAAGAGAGAGAGAGAGAGAGAGAGAGGAGGGGGAGTGAATGAACAGATACGGATGAGATGAGGAAAGGAGACCGGAGTAGGAGAGGAGAGGAAGGAAGACGGAGGCGAGAGAGTGAGTATCACGTGATGAGAGAGAAATGAAAGTGACTGAGGGCGAAGCGAGAGACATAGATGATAGGAAAGAAAGACGAGAAGAGTCTCTCTAAGCAGGAGGAGATGACGACCGAGAGGACTGGAATGGAAGAGGAGAGGGAGGACAGGAGAACGGATGGGAGGAAGAGAGGAGAGAGGACCGAATGAGAGGAGAAGGCGAAGAGGGGGAATGGAGTAGGAGAGAGGACACAGATGAGGAGGAGGTGAGATGAGAGGAACAGACAGAGAGAGAAGAGAGAGGGAAGGAGTGAGAAGAGAGAGAGGCGAGCAGATAGAGGAAGAAGAGAGAGAGAAGAGAGGAAAGAGAGAGAGAGAGCGGATAGAGACGAGAGAGGGAGGGAGAATCGAATGAGAAGTAGGAGAGAGAGAGAGCAGAGAGAGAGAGATGAGATGACTGAGGAGAGAAGGTAGGAAGCAGAGAAAGAAAGACGGACTAGAAGAAGAGAGAGAGGATATGAGAGAGCGAGCATGAGAGAAAGATACGAGAGGATGAATAGGAGAAGGAGAGAGGAGAAGGAGATGATGGAGACATGAGAATATGGAGAATGAGTAGACAGAGACGAAGATCGCGAAGAAGATTCAGAAGAGACGGAGCTCAGTACGGATCGTGATAGAGACGCCAGGAAGAAGAGGAGAGAGGAACGGAAGAGATGTGCAGAACCCTGCGGAACTTAGTGATGTAGGAAAGGAGAGAGAGAGAAGAGAGAGAGAGAGGAGAGAGATCGAGAGAGATGAGAGAAGATGAGACGAGAGAAGAAGATCGAAGAGAGAGAGAGAGAGAGAGAGGAGGAGAAGAGAGAGAGAGAGAGAGCAGAGATACGAGAGTAGAGGAGAGGCAATATATCCCCCTATCCTAGGAATACAGAGAATATGAGTCTGACAACAATAACTACTAATTCCAGAAAACAGACACAGTTGAGACACAAGACACAATTAAAGGGTCAGTTATGGTGCCTGAGAGCGGCATCAAAGCGAGGCGCGGCCCCTCCTGCAGCAGCGGCGGTGTTCGCGTCTCCTCCGCTGAAACAAATGGCCGCCGTTGATCGTAAAGAATAAGAACATCTCACGCGAGCTGACGGAGCACCCGCTTGTCTCCTCGCCTTTCCTCTCCTTTCGTTTTTTTTTTTTTTTTTTTTTTTATTTTTTTTTTTTTGTCTCTCTCCTTTCTCTCTCTCTCTCTCTCTCTCTCTCTCTCTCTCTCTCTCTCTCTCCTCTCTCTCTCTCTCTCTCTCTTCTCTCTCTCTCTCTCTCTCTCTCTCTCTCTCTCCCCTTTACCTCCCAGGTCTACACATGATCAGGCAGGGAGAAAATTAATCTCATTTTATTTTCTTTCGCCCATCCTCCGACCGTGCAGTAATTTGCAAGAGAATGGTGAAGGTTCGTTCCAGCTGATCCTAATGCAAGAAAGTTGAGCTTTTACGGTCAGGAGGTAATTAAGAAAGGTCAGGGCTTCGCGGCCGCAGAGATACGATGCACGTGTGATCTTACTGTAGTCTTAAGTGGTGCTTTCTTTAAAAAAAGGAGAAAATTTGATGCCGGTATAAATCTGACTTTGTATTACATATTATCCAAAAGAGAATCTCGGATCTGATATCATCGTTAGCCTTTTCTTGTCTGCAGAAAGAGAAAGCGCCTTAGAAAGAAAACAAAAAGTTCGCTGATTTACGGTTTTATTTCAAAGAATATTGCAACAAACTTCCTTTCACTGTAAAATACCCCCCCCCCACCCTCTCCTCTCCACGTGAAACTTCCCTGAGTTATTAAGTCGTTCGTTAACTTTGCGTGTAAGTACTATTGAGGATAGAGTTATAAGGCTGCTCTTCCCTGACCATAAAGACTTCATCTGTAGGGGCCAGTGAACTTTATTTGCTTTACAAAACGTAAAGAACCTCTTGCCTACTCCTTCTTCAATTGCTTGTCTCATTTTCCGAATGATGGCTGCTTAAACTTCTTCAAAAAAAGAAAAAGAAATACGATTGATACAGTATTTTCTTGCAAGGACTGGTCTGAGGAATTTGTCCATCTGTGTATGTTTGTCTGTCTGTCGAATTCTGTCTGTTTGTATGTCTGCCTCTCTGTCTGTCTGCCTCTCTCTCTTTCTCTTTCTTTCTCCGTCTCTCTTTCTTTCTCCATCGCCCTCTTCCGCTCAGTTCTCTTCCTCTTCTTTTCTTTTGCTCTAAATTAAAATTATTCTAATGTAAGCGGATCCGTTGCCTCGTTAGAATATCATGATATCTGTTTTTGGATATACATATACATTTTTTCTTCTTTTTTGTGGCTTGGTGATGGCTCGTAAGGTCAAGTTAGGTTATCTTTTGTTTGCTTATTTGTTAACCAGATAGAAATTAGGGGAATTGCAAAATTTGTTTCACAGTCTCTTAACAAATTTGCAGCCATTTTCTCACTCTTTCCATTTCCATTCTTTCATAGCAAATTTCAATGCTTCATTTACTGTCTGTTGTCTGTCTCTCTCTCTCTCTCTTCCTCTTCCTCTTCCACTCTCTCTCTCTCTCTCTCTCTCTCTCTCTCTCTCTCTCTCTCTCTCTCTCTTCTCTCTCTCTCTCTCTCCTCTTCTCTCTCTCTCCCTCCCCCCCTCTCTCTCATATTCCCTTGACGCATATCGATGTATCTCCAACTGCCCGCTTCCCGCCGACGTCTTCTTTTCCAATCGCCGCAACCCGCTCCTCTTGACAAGTTACAACCTCGTACTAGAGTATCGCTCCTCTCATTTCATCTTACCTGTTGTTGTTGTTTTTTTCAACGTCTATATTTGTGAACCATCCGCTTCTGGTTCCTCTTCGTGTACCGCCGCTGCCGAACCTTTCACCGTGGGGTCGAGCATCCCCCGACACAAGCGCAGCGGTTTCGTGTGATCTCCATGACAGCGAGC